AACCCTCTCCTTGCTCAAGAGACTGGCAACGTCCTCTGCTTCATTTTCCAATATGCTTCTAGTTGCTCATTAACTACTAGGTATAATCAGTAGGGACGTGGGTGGCGCTGTGGGTTAAACCACAGAGCCTAGGGCTTGCCGATCAGAAGGTCGCGGTTCGAATCCCCATGACGGGGTGAGCTCCCTTGCTCGGTCCCAGCTCCTGCCAACCTAGCAGTTCAAAAGCACATCAAAGTGCAAATAGATAAATAGGTACTGCTCTGGCGGGAAGGTAAACGGTGTTTCCATGCGCTGCTCTGGCTCGCCAGAAGCGGCTTAGTCATGCTGGCCACATGACCCAGAAGCTGTACGCTGGCTCCCTCGGCCAATAAAGCGAGATGAGCACCGCAACCCCAGAGTCGGTCACCACTAGACCTAATGGTCAGGGGTCCCTTTACCTTTACCTTATAATCAGTAGGATGTTATAAAAGGGGAGATGAAGGAAACCTGTGTGTTGGCACTATGAGGTTGAGGGGTTGGCACTATGAGGTTGCTGCAGATGACCTGAGCTTTTTAGGAGGACCCACCCCCTACCCTGCCACCAACCCAAAATGACAGGTACAGCCCTGTGCTCCTTTCAACGCTGGAACCTGGGCATTTAGGAGCGGTGCTTGCCATTTTTGATTTCTCTGCAGCACAGGCTTGTCATTCCAAAATGATGCTATGCCAGAGTCCCAGGGACATAACTGCCTGCTGCTAGCAAGGTAAAATAAAGAGATGGTGGCACTGCGGGGGTGGAGTGGGCATGTGGGGATGGCACCACCACCAAAACCCAGAATTTCCTTAAGTGTCCTGCTAAACTTGACACTGGTCCTTATCCCACCAGTATCGATTGCTAACATTCCCTGCTAACAAGAAGGATCCACAAAAATTGTTGTAGAGCAGAGCTCTGTTGTTCAGGGTTTCAGCCTGCCACCCAAACCTTATTGCTGCTGCTACTACTAATACTGCTATTTTATTTCAACAGTAACTCAGGGGTCAGCAAACTTTTTCAGCAGGGGGCTGGCCCACTGTCCCTCAGACCTTGTGGGGGGCCGGACTATATTTTGGAGGGGGGGGAATGAATGAATTCCTATGCCCCACAAATAACCCAGAGTGCATTTTAAATAAAAGCACACATTCTACTCATGTAAAAACACCATGTTGTTGTTATTGTTTAGTCATTTAGTCGTGTCCGACTCTTCGTGACCCCATGGACCAGAGCATGCCAGGCACTCTTCTATTCCACTACCTCCCACATTTTGGTCAGACTCATGTTGGTAGCTTCAAGAACACTGTCCAACCAGCTCGTCCTCTGTCATCCCCTTCTCCTTGTGCCTTCCATCTTTCCCAACATCAGGGTCTTTTCCAGGGAGTCTTCTCTTCTCATGAGGTGGCCAAAGTATTGGAGCCTCAGCTTCAGGATCTGTCCTTCCAGTGAGCACTCAGGGCTGATTTCCTTAAGAATGGAGAGGTTTGATCTTCTTGCAGTCCATGGGACTCTCAAGAGTCTCTTCCAGCATCATAATTCGAAAGCACCAATTCTCCAGCGATCAGGCTTCTTTATGGTCCAGCTCTAACTTCCATACACAGGCAGGCCCTACAAATAACCCAGAGATGCGTTTTAAATAAAAGGACACATTCTACTCATGTAAAAACACGCTGATTCCCAGACCATCTGCGGGCCGGATTTAGAAGACGATTGGGCCAGATCCGGCCTCCGGGCCTTGGTTTGTCTACCCATGGTTTTCAGGATCAGGCTGCTATTCAAGCTACAGTCATACCTCATGTTACGTTTGCTTCAGCTTGAGCATTTTCAGGTTGCATCCCACAGCGACCCGGAAGTACCGGAAAGGGTTACTTCCAGGTTTCGCCGCTTGCGCATGCTCAGATGCGCAAAATGATATCACGCGCATGTGCAGAAGCAGCAAATTGGGACACGCACAGACGCGCAGATGCGGATTGTGTTCCTTTCAGGTTGCGAACGGGCCTCTGGAACGGATCCCATTCGCAACCAGAGGTACCACTGTACTGCCCTATGGCACATTGAAAAATGCTCCCAGGATGCAGATAGTATTTTTTGGCAAGCAAAAGACAGTGAGAAGAATGGAAGATGTGGCAATGGCAAGAATTGTCGTGGACACAAACCCTGTCTTCACACTTTGCCACTAATTGCTGAATCTTCTTAAAGATTGCTTAAAGAAGCAATGATGTCATTGATCATTTGCAAAAGCCATGGGAAGTAGTACAGACAGGTACTTGGATCAATACAAAAAGATTCTTAATGAGAATGAAGGCTAGTGCTTGTTCATTCAAGATTTAACAGAAATGCTCTCTTCAGTGACACCTAAGCCAGGGGTGGGGGTGGGGGAGACGTCTGTTTCTTATAAACTCCCAGATAGTGGCAGACTGCTGATCTTTAACACTATAGCAAGCTGATTTTAAAAGCAGGGTTTGGATGTTCACTTTGCAACCTCCAACGCATCGACAGGATCGCCACACATCCAGATTTAAAAATAGCAACAATATCCAAGACTGATGTACTTCAAAAGAGTTCATGCAGATTTTTCTCTTTTTATTTTTTAAAAAATCACATTTTGGCAAGCTGCTTTAACCAGCCAGCCCTTGCTATAAGAATATGCTAATATGTAATTAAACTGCACACCCATCATGCCATATGGTACATTTGAAACATAAAAAACACAGTGCTCCATTATTTGAGTAGGGTTCTTGCAGGGGGAGGGGGATTAAAAGACAGAGGCAACCCTAGGGAAAAGGGATAGGTTTTCTGTCCACCCACACTTTACATATCTGCTTTTCGCATTAGACATTGTTATCTTTTTTATAAGACCTGACAGCTTTAGGTTAATGGGCCTTAATTTTCTGGCCGTTGTCGACTACCATACATAACAAATAACAGTCCCTTTGATTCCCTTTTTCTTTTAATTTAACCATAATTAAAGGACTAGATAATTAAGATATTGATGTTCTCTTCAAAATCTGCAGATATTTACTTTGACCGGATAAGTATGTCTGTTGCATGCAGATTTAGGTTATGCATCGGTCCAGTTCCCACTGGAGCCGAGGGAGGGGGGAGAGTCTTGCCATTGATTTCAACAGCCCGGCGCCTTTCTACATTCTCACTCTCCACGAGTTTCCAACACAATATTAATATGCAAGTCAGGATATAGAAGAGAGATGCTGGACTCAAAAAGAGAACTTGGCAGTTAGGCCTTTAATTACCCAGTGGCACGTGGACGATATTGGACCAAGAATGCAGATGCAGATGAAAATAAAAAGATGAGTCTCTTGCTGTAATTATTCTTGATGGACTGATTGTGTGGCCATAATTGGAATTAAACTGGCATTTCATTTTGGCAAGTAGAAACCAGAATAAGTTGTGCTGTGGCTTTAAAAGCCATTACCCCTGTTACAGGGTAGCCATTTTTTGCATGTGATACAGCCCCAAAAGCAGGATGATTGATGGGCTCCATCCAACACCAGGCAGATAACCATTTCCATTTTAAATAAACCCCACATAATCAATTACTCATTTTTCGTGTGTGTGTGTGTGTGTGAGAGAGAGAGAGAGAGAGAGAGATGTGCTTGTTCTTTCTTCCTCTGTTCAAATAACCTTCCTGCCATAGGAATTGTAATCCCATAGAATTCAAATTGTGATGCAAAAGAACAAATAAAAGAAGCAATAAAATACAACTAAAAATCAATATGAACGTTTAATGTTCATATTGTCTTCAAACGCAAATCCACAGACATGCTCCAGCCCACCTGAATGATGTTCACAGACCCCTGGTGGGGTTGCTGAGGGAATGGTTCAGTCATTATAATCATATAAATTAAAGTATCCTTTTGTAACTGGGTAACCATATCTTCTCAAAGCAGCTGTTAAAAGCACGTTTTTATTTAAAGAGGGAAGAGTTGCTAAAATGGCAAGCTCTTAGGAATACTGAAGAGTTACCTTTTTCAGGTGGTTCTCATCTCCCCTCCTCCCTCCAGGAAATATCTTCTAGGATCATGAGGTTAAAGTCTTTAATTTTCCTCCTTCTTCTTAAGAGACTCTTCTCTGATAAGATGCAAATGAAAGTAATTCTGAGAGAAATACTAATATGGCCAGTCTAGAGTTTGAGCAAGGAATATTCAGCTTGAATGGAAGACATTGGGACAGCATTGGGACAGTGGCACTGGGGTCTTTAAAAATGAGATAAAAGATTGTCCATATGGAAATGCTGACTAGACTGCAAATTGCCCTCTTGAAGCTGCTTTGCCCTAATGCAAGTGGCTACCTGGGATTTTGTTACACGGATTTGCATACAATGAATCATTCTGCCCACAGAAGGAAACAGAGGTGTGCAACAGCAGCCATTGCCACCAGCAGGCAGAATTGGGAATGGAAGCCTCAGGAATGGCCAGGTCTTCAGGGCCAGTCCAACATATTTTGTTGCCTGAGGCTAAGCTCCACTAAGAGCATCCCAGACACCGCTCCCTTCCTGTCAAGGTACATAAACCAAAGCCAAGGTGTTTCAAATTACATTGACACCTAAGAGGTGGGATATCCCACAGGGATCTCCCCCCTCTGTGGCAGTAACAACAACAACAACAACAACAACAACAACAACAACAACAACAACAACAACATGACACTCCAAATCAGCTGCCTGGGGGTGGTTTCCTCATTCTACCTAATGATAGGGCCGGCTTTGGAGATCTGATAGAAGTAGTAGAAACATGGCTTGCTGTGTGGGCTTCATCATAAGAATGTAAGAGCCTGCTGGATCAGGCCAATGGCCCATATAGTCCAACATCCTGTTGACACAGTGGTCAACCATCTGCCTATGTGAGGCCTGTAAGAAGGACCTGAGTGCAACAGTAGTGGCATATTCAGATGGGCAGGATGGTCCCATCCATGCCCCTTCTAAGATAATGCAACTTTATAAGATTTCTTTCCAAAATAGGAGATCCAGCTGAAAGGCAACTCACAGAGATCTGCATTGATCACTGCAATGCATCCCTATTTGTTATTATTGTAAAATTATAGGGATGCATTGCAGTGATCAGTGCAGATCTCTGTGAGTTGCCTTTCAGCTGGATCTCCTATTTTCTGTGCATGGGCAAATGATTTGCAGTGCTCCAATATCTTCTTTCAGAGTGACCTAAGTTGTGTTTTCCGTGAAGTTCCTTTATATGTAACATAACTTGCACACCAGTGTCTTGGAACTGAAGCACCTTGTGTTTTCGCTGTTCCTAAATGCTTTGCTTTCATGCTGACTGGGCACAGTGCCAGATTTATGTATAAGCTAAACAAGCTATAGCTTAGCCCCCCTCCCAAAAAAAAAAATTAAAGGGGGAAAAACTGGATGTACATTTCCAAAATATAAGATAAAAAACAAATAAAATAAAATCTACATACAGCAACAGTGTTTTGTGTTGTGTAGGTTCCTATGATGTAAGTCACAGGCCCCGTCCCTAAAATATCCCTGGTTTGCTCATTTCTGTATATAGGGTGCCTACATTCTGCATGGACTGGCTTTAGATACCTATTAGATTCATAAATTACCATATGGCATATATTCAACACAAAAAACAGTGACAATTTGTTGTTGACAAAGGACAGCTGGACATATATAGGGCCCCATTACCTTCAGTAGCTTAGGACCTCATCAAACCTAAATCCGGCCCTGATTAGGTGGCACTAGGACACTGGAAAGAGGGATTCTGCTGCAGAAATAGTAACAGGTATTGGACCCCTTGCAACTCCAGGTCATTACACTACTAGTCCCAAGGGCTACATAGAGAGGTCTGGATTTGTCCCCAGACCCAGACCTGAGATTCCCCACACCTGCCAACATTTCGTCCCTGACTTCAGGCTGGAGAATGCACCCTCCAGACTTTGCTATGGCCACCAGGTTATCCTCAGCCATCATGTTATCAAGTGCAGGTACTTTGTCACGTTCCCAACAGTATATGGGCAATATAGATAATCATTATCATTATTATTATTTTGCACATTCAACAGGAAATTCTAGGTTTGGAATTATTTGCTTTTCATCTTCCTGGTGAGTGTATGGTTATATTTGTAGCAATTAAAAAAAATGTAGGCCCCTTTGGGAAGTGCTACAGTAATTATTTCATTGATGATTCAAAGAACATTTTCCTCTGCACTAGCAGTTGATAAATTGCTCATATTCATTTGACATTCGCAGCTCCCCAACCCCCGTTTAATTACATAATAATTGAAATATCTGCCTGATCTCTATGTAGCCCTGTGCCCACTCCTTTCACAATGGAGCATATCAACACTGCAAAATCAATGAGGAGTTGCCTCCAGGAAGAAGCAAGCCAACTGAAGTACTTGCATTCTATATTCTTTCTGAATTAGCAGTCAGAAGAGGAGGATGGAGCACCCAGGTGTTTATAGCAGTGGTCAGTTATAAATCAATGCAAATATCACCAGCCAATTATCTTAACAGTGTCATCCTACCTTTTCTACTTTGAATAAGACTCCGTAAAGGCTTGTCCACACTTCACCTTGTCGTGTGCCTAGAAAGCATTATTCCGAGTGGCTTTCTCTGTTGTCCCACTAGTTTCCCAGGGAAAACCTGCTCTTTATCTCTAAATCAGAGCAAACGTCATTCTGGAGAAACCCCAAATTTCTGTTTGCTCCGATAGAGTGCTAAAGAGCAGTATTCCTTAGAGATAAGCAACAGGAAGTGTGACTAAGCCCTTAATTTAATAGAGTTTACTCCTTGGTCAGTGTATATAGCAGGTGCAACTAACTTTGCCTCCAAAAGTTTTTGGGCGCCCCCAAGGCCTTACCAGTTTTGAATGTAGCAATAGCTGTAGCAGGAGAAAGAAAAGTAAAGCAGACACAGGTGTTGTGGCAGAGAGATGTAAAGCACAGTGCTCAGATGGGGATGCATATCATTCTCTCCCAGATTGGGTTGGGAATAGAGCAACAATTCTTGCAATAAGCTACCTGAACCAGTGGGGAGTGACAGACAGAACGACAACCTGTTCTTCCTCCTCACTGATTCCTTCTCTTCTAATAAGTACTTGTTGGTAAAGTTTATCACTTCCTTTCAGTCTATACTTCCTGATTATGATCCAAGTTCAGCCAGTATCAGTATGTGTCAACATATGCTAGTAGTGTTAACTTATTGGCTCCATCTTGGGAACAGCCCTGAGATCTTAGGATGTCCTGGTTTTGACATAGAAACTTATTTGGTCACCCTGTGTGATAACCTCTGTTGGGAGAGACAGAGGAAGTGTGTCCTCCTTAATACTCCACAGTCTCTCAGTGGCTTTTGATACCATTGACCATGGTATCCTTCTGGAGTGACTGTCTGAGTTAGCGGTGAGTGGCACTGCTTTGTGGTGGTTCCGGTCCTACTTGGATGGTCATGTCCAGAGGATGATGCTCTTTGGCCTTGTGTGGCCTTCAATGTGGGGTTCCTCAGGGCTCAGTTTTATCCCCCCTGCTGTTTAACATCTACATGAAACTACTGAGTGGAGCAGCCTTTCTTAACCTGTGGGTCCCCAGTTGTTGTTGAACTACAACTCCCATCACCCCTAGCTAACAAGGCCAGAGCTCAGGGATGATGGGAGTTGTAGTCCAACAACATCTGGGGACCCACTCCGCTGGAGTGGAGTTATCCAGAGTTCTGGAGTATGTTGTTAGCAATATACAGATGACACACAGCTCTACTTCTCCTTTACATCTGCAAGCGTGGCAGCGGATGTGCTGGACCTTTGTCTTGCCTTGGTAATGGACCGGATGAGAGCCAACAAACTGAAGTTCAATCCAGACAAGGCTGAGGCTCTGTTTGTGGGCAGTTCCCATGGGATGGATGGGAAGCTGCCTGCTCTTGATGGGGGTTACAGTCCCTCAGAAGGAGCGGATACACAGCTTGAGAGTACTTCTTGATCTTTTCTCACAACCAATCAAGGCCATGGCAGCTACAGGAAAAGTGAGCCTCCTTATGCCATCCAGCCATATCACCCACTGGTGATGCATATATATCCTATGCCAGGGGTCAGCAGACGTTTTCAGCAGGGGGCCGGTCCACTGCCCCTCAGACCTTGTGGGGGGCCAGACTATATTTTGAAAAAATAATAATGAACGAATTCCTATGCCCCACAAATAACTCAGAGATGCATTTTAAATAAAAAACACAGATTCTACCATGTAAAAACACCAGGCAGGTCCCACAAATAACCCAGAGATGCATTTTAAATAAAAGGGCACATTCTCCCCATGTAAAAACACGCTGATTCCTGAACTGTCAGTGGGCCGGGTTTAGAAGGCGATTGGGCTGGATCCAGCCCCCGAGCCTGAGTTTGCCTACCCATGTCCTATGCCATACATTGTATGCAGCTTCTGCAAATACTATCAAGTGTGGGCTAGTGGCGGCAACTATGAAAAGCTATCCTTCATGTGATATATTCTCTCTCTCTCTCTCTCTCTCTCTCTCTCTCTGTGTGTGTGTGTGTGTGTGGAGTGATGTTGGGGGAGATGTCTGTCCATTTGAAGGATAGTTAGTGAAGACTGGGCTTTGTCTATGGCTGTCCCCATATGAACCGGCCATGTGAGAAGGTCCCAAATTGCAACAAAACTGAGCTAGAATCCTTGCAAGCAGATAATTGTGGGATTCAGCCCCATTGGCTTTGATGAAGCAACCTGGCCACTATCCAGCTTATTCAACTTAACTGGCTGTCAGGTTAGGCTGTTCAGATCACAAATCAGGCCAAAATTATCTGTAAGGGTTGGAGAATTTTGCTTCCTCCCCCCGCCCCCTTGCAATGTAGCATTTAGTATAGAGGAGGACTTTGGCTTAACTTGGCATTAACGACTTAATTAGGAGTTTACCCAGGTATGAAATGTCTAGAAATTGGCATTGATTAAAACATTAAAATGCTAAAGCCTGAGTGCAAACAGGGTGGGCATGAGCCTAAATATAGGCATAAAGAAATACATGGAAATGTGTGCAGCTTGCCTCCTCTGTTTCCTTTTGGGACTGGTGGTAAACCATAATTCTAAAATAATATGACAAGGTCAAGAGTGCCTGGGTGTAGTTTCTTCCAATCCCATTACCTTGTTTCTGGCCCCCAAAGGTTTAAATTTCATTGACGTAGCTGAGGAATAGATATCCTCATTAACTGAATGGGGTGGCTAGTTTTTATACCAGCTGAAGCTTCTCTACAGCATGGAGCTGCTCTGTCCTAAATATAGGAAAATGAGAATACATTTTGGTCAGATCCATACCACACAATAAAAGTATATCCAACACAAAGTTAAAGAGCATGACTACCCACCCATCCCAAAAAAGGAATCCTGGGAAGTGTAGTTTCCCCCTCACAGAGCTACAATTCCCAACACCTTTAATGAACTACAGTTCCCAGGATTCTTTGGGGGAAGTCATGCATTTTTAATGTGCACAGAATGTATGGTGTGGATGTTCAATACAAGTGAAAACTGTTTCTTCCTTCTCCCACTCATCAGAAAAAAATGAATATTATGAATAAATATTTGGGTTTTTTTAATAAAAAAAATGAACTCAAGGCTCACATCTAATAGAAACCTTTGCTAACGCTTTCCCTTCCAAGGAGACAAAACATGGGTTATGTACATTTTAGTATACAAGTACATTACAACTCCTGCTTAGATAACTATCATTTTTCCTCCCATATTTATGCATTAAGAAGGCGCCAGCAGACTTTGAATTATGGATAGGTTGGATCCAAACCAGGAGTAAGCATCTTTAAATTCAACAGAAGTTGAATTTAGGCTTGGGCTGTAAGTCATGGCTTAGTCCCATTGAAAGCAATAGAACTTAGGTTTGATTAACTTGTTGCAGTGGTTTCAATAGGACTAAAGCATGAATAACTCAACCTGATTGCCATTGTCCTGCAAGACTAGGGTAAAGAGGATTTCATTCTGACATTTAAACACACACACAGAGAGAGAGATTATTGTAATGCTTATCATCTATACAATGGACGCTCGGTTTGCGAACGTGATCCGTGTGGGAGGCACGTTTGCAACCCGCAGCATTCGCAACCCGCAGTGGTGCGTCTGTGCACGCGCGGGTTGCGATTCGGCGCTTCTGCGCATGCACAACTGCCGAAACCCGGAAGTAACCCATTCCAGTACTTCCGGGTTTCGGCACATCCGTAACCCAAAAAAAAAACGCAACCTGAAGTGTCTGTAACCCAAGGTATGGCTGTATTGCTCAGAGTAATTCACATACGTTCACAGGAACCTTTGCAACGGCCCTGTAAGATAGATTACTGTTTACACCCTCAAACTGCAGATGGAGAAGAACTGAGGTGAACAGAGACTTGTCTAAAGTCACCTAGTGAGCTCTTTGATCTGAAAGCAGCTTTTTCCCACTTGCCAACTCACACTCTTAGTCACTACATCAGTTCTCTAGATACCCATCAAATGGGTGTGTTTGGAAAAGTTATCTTAAAAGGAGCTTGTAGCCAAGTGCAAGCTTCCCCACCAGTTTTTCCTTGGTTTATCATTTCTTTCTGTCTGTCAAGTGTTGCTTCTGTCCACTGCCCATCCGTACCCTTACCTAGCTGCCTTCTTCTGATCTTCCCTTCAGTCATGTTCAGTTGTAGCCCATCTCTATAACAAGCCAGTGATGTTAACACAGTGGCTTCCACCCAAATATAAGTTAATATAAGGAATTCCATGAAAGGAAAGCTCCCTATCTTCCACCCCATCAGCCCAATAGATCCCATCACACATTGTTCATGAGGAGCCCACAACGCTTCTGAGTGGCTTCATGGAAGTCACAAAAGGAGGAAAGGAATAGGAAACTTTCCCTCTGTGAACTTTCTTCACAGAGTGTGGTGTAGTGGTTAAGAGTGGTGGACTCATAATCTGGTGAACCGGGTTCGTGTCTCCGCTCCTCCACATGCAGCTGCTGTGGGCTAGTCACACTTTTCTGAAGTCTCTCAGCCCCACTAACCCCACAAAGTGTTTGTTGTAGGGGAGGAAGGGAAAGGAGAATGTTAGCCGCTTTGAGACTCCTTAGGGTAGTGATAAAGCGGGATATCAAATCCAAACTCTTCTTCTTCCTCCTCTTCTTACATTATCTTGGTAAACTTGCCAAGGTATGAAAAATGACCTAGAGAAGAATGGGTCTTTGCATAGTGAACAACAGTTGTTGTTTTTCCAAGCCTTGAAGAATGAGTTCAAGGCTGATTTATATTTGCTATGGTATGAGAAGAACTAGGCAAGAGATGATGTTAAGGGTGGATGAAGGAGTATTTTAAAATACAGTAAGTGATGCTCAGGGAATGGGGGAAATTAGTTTGGCATCTTATGGCAAAGAGGTGCCATAACATACCATGAATGCCTCCCTTGTTCTCTTCTAATGGCAATGGTGCCCACCTGAGGGTTGCCATGCAAAATTCCCATTTTGGCTTTAACAGATCAGGATGAACTGAAGAAAATGTTATGCATGATGGCCTTATGTGAACAATAAAAGAAAAGAAGGATTCTCTACACTAGAGAATAGATTAACAATATGCTCTCATTTAGAATTTCACATTTTTATATCAGCACCGAACTTTGTATCATTTCACCACAAGACTATTTTTTGCTCTGTTCTTAAAATACATATAGCAGTTACAGGAGCAACAGAGTTGTCAGGGTATTAAATTTAGAGAGGCACAGAAGAGCCACTACATAAAAATGTTTGGTGGGGGGCAGCTTTAAACTCTGGATTTTTAGAGAGATGGCTTCATAACAGTATACAGAACAGTTAATTACAGATCCATGCAAAACTGCTCCAAAGATCTCTGTTACACCATTGCAGCTGCCAAGAGAAATGATTGATCATTGTGTTGCGCAGCTTCATAATAAAGCTAAATCATGTGAATTTAAGGAGTTTACTGACTCAAGAGTGACTGGATTATTTCTGGGATGACTGATGGCCAAAATCAAGTTGACACTGCAATGATCACACAGAATATGTGTAAGGCTGATGTCTTCAGGAGTATATAATCATTGGAAGATTTAAAGGACACAGCAGTCAGAAACTGAGACAACTTTATTTGCTCTCTCCAACAATAACAGAGCAGGCCAGTCACAGGAAACGCCTGATTCCACCCATGTACAACTAAGTCCAGTGCTAGTGACTAAGCTATATAATGGCACTATCCTCATAATCATATGTACAGCAAAAAGGCTATTCAGTGGGATTTGCTTCTGAATAAATAACATACTTAGACTCAGGCACTGCATTACTAATTGTAGACAAAATCTGCTGTCCTGAATCCTTAACCTAAGACATCAGGTACTTGGGACTCCACATGGAAAAAGATTTGTTGTGCCTGAGGGGTGTTGCTCTCAGGAAAACTGGAATGTTGCATGAACCATAACAAACTTCTCATCTCTACTTTCTCTTTCTTTTTCATTTGTTCCTTGGTTGCATGTACAGTGGTACCTCGGGTTAAGTACTTAATTCATTCCAGAGGTCTGTTCTTAACCTGAAACTGTTCTTAACCTGAAGCACCACTTTAGCTAATGGGGCCTCCTGCTGCTGCCGGGGCACGATTTCTGTTCTCATCTTGAAGCAAAGTTCTTAACCTGAGGTACTATTTCTGGGTTAGTGGAGTCTGTAACCTGAAGCGTATGTAACCTGAGGTACCACTGTATTTTCAAACATTCATCAGTTTAAACATATTTTAAAAAATTAAAAAATTGTCCAGTAGCACCTTAGAGACCAACTAAGTTTGTTCTTGGTAAAAGCTTTCGTGTGCATGCACACTTCTTCAGATACCTTCCACATTTACTTAAATGCACTTAAATTCACTTAAATGCATGCACACAACAGCTTATACCAAGAATAAACTTAGTTGGTCTCTAAGGTGCAACTGGACAATTTTTTAATTTTTTTATATGTTTCGACTGCGTCAGACCAACATGGCTACCTACCTGAATCAGTTTATTTCACTTTAAGCAGAAGATATAAGAACCTGATGCAAGTGAAGAGAAGACTAAGGAAGCAACAGGAACTTAGTAGGACTGTTTTGGGTAAACATGCATTGATTTCCACGTGTAGAAAAGAGCAAATACTTGTTTGTTGCTACCTCAGAGAACCAGACTAAATGTATTGCACTTAGATTTCTGGAGGATTGAACTTCAGAAGAAACTTCCACGCATTTCAGAAGAAGGTTTTGTTTTCCATTTCCCCCCAATTCTCTCATTCCCCCCCCCCAATTTAAGGACTTACAGTTTTGTTTTTGTTTTAACTGAATGTGTAAGGATCTCGTCTGCATTTTTCCAGGATCACCACATGTCTAAATACAACCACTTCAAACATATTTGACAATAATAACCACTGGACCTCTGGAGTTAAAACAGCTTGTCTCCCCATAATGATTTTAAATGACAGAGCTTACCTGACGAAGGTGAATTCTGAGAAACTACATGTGGAAACATACTGTAGTCTCATTCATTCATACACACACACACACACACACACACACACACACACACACACACACCAACTTTTCACAAATAGACACAAGGTAGAATTTCTTTTAGCCCTATGTGAAATGGAAATTAGAGAATGAAATGTTACACTGCCAATTATCACTAGTTTTGTGCTGGATCCCCTTTTAATCAAAATGGTAAATCAATTGATTGTAAGCTCGCTCCTGCACCAACAGAAATTGTAAGGGGAAATATTATGTGCACTTTGTAAGCCAATGTTGATATGTACATCACTTATTCTAAAGTGGATATTTTATTTTGTAAGATTGCAAAGTGTGCGCATGTGCACGCGAGCACACACACACACTGTTTGAAGCTTGTTTTACGCTATTGCACATTTACTTTTCTGTCCTAAAATCTATGATACTTTCCTGTAAACAGATTTATGTTTGGAGCACCAGTCAATTAATTGTCTGGCTTTTTAACCTAGCAATCAATGAAATGGGCAATTAAAGCAAACAGTACAGTATCTTGACACAAATGATATTTTGAGGATATGTGATGAAGACAGCAGTTGCTCTTGACTAATTAACACAGACAAATCATTAATTGTTTGGCAAATCATCTTAATGGCATTACCCATTCAAAAGATTCACATCAGTAGTTTAAAACCAATGGCGCTTTCTTGGGAGATTGTGGGGGGACGGACGAACAGACAGGAGTCAATTCATGTTTGATCGTAACTTTCCATTCCTTAATTTTCCATTCAAGAATTAATCAATTAGTCTTCACATTAATATTATTCAAACTCTCTGCCACAGCAAGCATCCATTGAGTCAGTCAGTCAGTCAGTCAGTCAGTCAGTCAGTCAGTCACCAAGCACTATACTTGTAAGGATCATATATGCAATACAACTCTACTAGATTTTTTGACTATCAAGATTTGCATAAGATGACATTTAAGAATTATTGGGGGATTGGGGGGCATTCCTAGCCCAGTAAATCAATAGTATATTAATGATAAAAATCATAGTGGATATGATGAAGCTAATACCCACTGAAATGAACTCACATGGCCAGTGAAATAATACCTTGGATTATACAATATCCGTAATGCATATTTCTAAAAAAAGTCTTCTGGTACCTTAAGGACTAGCAATTTTATTAAGGTATAAGCTTTTGTGGTCCAGAATCCATCAATGCAAATGTTAGCTTTCAATTTATACAGAACAGTTTTCTTCATCAGAATACTAAAGAAAAATGAAGACAAAAAAGCAGAAATAAATGTTGCTAATAAGGATTAATGAAGCTTCTTTCCAAATAACTTTTCCAGGATCCTAGTAAAGATGACATTCCAATGAGCGTCTTACAGGCTGAAGATTGATAATTAAGGCCTCCTACTCAAAGACCACAGAATATCTTTTTTTAAAATATATATATATATTAATTTTTAGCATACAGAATTATTAAAGACATACCACACAAATTATTACAAACATATCCTTATTTGGACTTCCCTCAGCACCTCTGATAATACTCAGTCTTGATTATTTCTCCTGCATTTCTTAACCTAATATTGCCTTTACCTTTTCTAACAAATCATTTCTCCCTTTCCATTTTTACAATATTTCTTAAATTACTCCTCACAGAACTTCTTGTAATCCTACAAACTTAGTCTGATCATCACAAATACTTTTCAGATACTCTGTAAATTTAGTCCAGTCTTCGGTAAACCTCTGGTCCCGCCGGTCTCGGATCCTTCCTGTTAGCTTGTCTAATTCTGCGTAGTCCATTAATTTCATTCTCCATTCTTCTAATGTTGGTAATTCCTCTTGTTTCCATTTTTGGGCCAATAATATTCTTGCTGCTGTTACTGCATATAAAAAAAGCTTACAGTCTTTCCTGTTTATATCATTTCCAACAATACCCAATAGAAGTGTCTCTGGCTTCTTAATGAAGGTATACTTCAACATTTTTTTTAACTCATTATATATCATCTCCCAGAAGCATTTCACCTTTTTACATTCCCACCACATATGATAAAATGATCCTTCTTTTTCTTTACATTTCCAACATTTATTACTAACTTTATACATTTTTGCTAACTTAACTGGTGTAATGTACCATCTATACATCATCTTCATCACATTTTCTTTTAATGCGTTACATGCAGTAAATCTCAATCCCTTGAGACCTCAGAATATCGTGCTAATGGAATGAACAGCTGAGGTACTTATCCTGATATTTCAACTTAATGCCTTACAGCACATTCCTATCCATGTCTACTCAGAAGTAAGCCCCACTGAGCTCAGTAGGACAAGAGTAAAGGATTCTCCCAGGAAAGAGTAAAGAACTGCAGGTTCAGAGCATTTTTAAAGACCCACTGAAGGGTGGGTGTTCTCACTTGCTTATGAGCATGGATTTCAATAGGTAACTTCCTTATGAAGATTGTTAAGGCGGATCAGGGGGGAGGAAGATCGTTTTCAACGCCAGTGTACGTTTAAGCACTACAAACGTCACAGAAGTGTGTTTATTGTACAGGTGTAACTTAGACAGCATCTTAAAAAGCAGAGACATCACCTTGCCAACAAAGGTCCGTATAGTTAAAGATATGGTTTCCCCAGTAGTGATGTATGGAAGTGAGAGCTGGACCATAAAGAAGGCTGATCGCTGAAGAATTGATGCTTTTGAATTATGGTGCTGGAGGAGACTCTTGAGAGTCCCATGGACTGCAAGAAGATCAAACCTCTCCATTCTGAAGGAAATCAGCCCCGAGTGCTCACTGGAATAACAGATCGTGAAGCTGAGGCTCCAATACTCTGGCCACCTCATGAGAAGAGAAGACTCTCTGGAAAAGACCCTGATGTTGGGAAAGATTGAGGGCACAAGGAGAAGGGGACGGCAGAGGACGAGATGGTTGGACAGTGTTCTCAAAGTTACCAGCATGAGTTTGACCAAACTGCGGGAAGCAGTGGGAGACAGGAGTGCCTGGCGTGCTCTGGTCCATGGGGTCACGAAGAGTCGGACATGACTAAACGTCTAAACAACAACTGTGCAAAGAAACTTTAAATTGCTGATTTATCAAGCACATTCTTAAAATAATACTAACGAACTTATTCTGGATAAACTCCAGTGCATAAGATCGAGCTTTACTTAAGAGAAAACCTTGTAAACGCTCGAGCTATGTAGAATGCAAGAGAACAGAAGACTACAGTAGATGCAACGGTGAACGGAGCTCGTGTAACTTTAATTGTGGCGTGTCAGGGGGGAATTCCAGCAGGAGCGGTTTTCCTTGCCTGTGGATGCAGAGTTCCACTTGCCCAAAGTGTCTACGGCTACACAGCTATTAAAGGTACAGGAGCCCCGTCCTCTTTTGCCCCGGTCATCTACTGTGCTATCCATAATGCGTATATTATATTTGAAATGGGGGCGGTGGTGATAAAAAGGCTTCTCTTAATATGCTGCTGTAACCTGAATGAGAAACCTCGGGTGGCATCCAACACAAGACCTGCTCAGAATAGGCCCATTTAAGTTAACGGACATGATTCACGTTCATTAATTTTAATGTGTCTACTCTGAGTAGGACTTAGTTGAATACAACCGTTTTTCTTTGGACTAGGCTCCACTGAAATAATTTGGTTCTATTTCAAAGAGCTGAGGTCAATTGGAACTTATTCCTCAAAAGCTTATGGATCGGGGAAGATTTTGGTTGGTTTGTTGTTGTTGTTTTACATAAAAAGCTTATGTCAGAGACTCTTTCCTTCGCCTTTGTTGTTGGATCTTCTATTCTTACACGACACGCATTTTTCCTGGAAGTAATTAAAAACAGCAGCAGCAGCTATGTCTTTTACCCTCGGCACATGTTCTGGTGGACCGGGTGCCACTGTTATTGTGTACAAGTCTGCTTAACCATATTCTGAAGTCTCTGGTAGCGAAATTAGTTACATATTGTTAAAAGCTATCCTCAATAGGTTCTCCAAAGTTCAAACCTCTTTCTGTAACATCCAGTCATATAAACAGCTGTCCATAGCCAAATCGGAAAGATCCCGGAGAGAGTCTGAAATACACAGTGCAGCTTTGCAGTTCCTGGTGTGGTTGGTTTCTGCAGGGTCCTCCACGCCAGTACCTGAAAAGGAAGCCCTACAGAACCGGTTCCCAGTCTCGCCGAAGTGACATTGATGGAGACTCCTCTCCTAAGATCCCTGGAAGTATTATGGCTTCCAAAACATCTTCTAAGGAATAACTTTATTTTTGTTCACCCTTCTTTGAAGACTGTTTTAACTGTGATGATGATGATGATGATGATTGATGTTCTTGTTATTTATTTATTTATTATTATTATTATTATTATTCAGCATCAGCCTTGCCGCTGCGCAGAATCTGTCAGCCAATGCCCAGTGCTGACCGTCCCTGTTCCAGGTTTCTCTGCCTGTCT